GCTTGTTGACTTTCTTGTCGCACCATGGTGGCTGCTCTAGAGAGCACCTCCAATGGTGACTCCTCTTTGCTATCCAAGGTTGGTTGTCTGCAACTTTCCACGGTCGATATTGAAGTAATCATGCTAGGGGCGAACGTTATCTGGAAAAGCCACATTATTGATTGTAGACGTTGAAATTAAAGTCGAGTATATGCAAATTTCTATTAACACCTTTACTAATGAAGGCGTAAACATGCCGTCCGCATTTTTGGCACAACGCTAATCGTATCTCGAAATGACGCGATGAGCGAAAAAATGTCTAGGAACATAACAAAGGACAAATGCCAAATTTCGATTCCGCAATGCGTTAAAATTCCTAAGTCTATGCTTAGAAAATGCGATGCTTAAGCCATTCTACCTATCCGAAGCGTGTGTTCGAGTTCAGCTAGAAAAATAATAATCGTTGAAAGTTGACACGAGGATCTTACGATCGTTATAAAAGCATGCTTCATGCAATAAGACCACAAAGTTATCAGCAGTAGCAAGTAGTTTATCATTTCCAATATTAAACAGGATCCTTGGGTTTGGGGGACCACAAACGCTGATAACCTTGCATTCCATCGCATATAACTCCTCCAGTAGCGTCTATACTTGAAAAATGCTTAAAAAATTGGAAAAAACCAGGCAGATTTTTTTCGGTTGCAACTGCTGGCTTGATTCATTGTTCTCTTAAAGTAGCCACTAAATCAAAATGAAAATTTCATCAACGCGTTGAAGCATGAAGCTCAACGTATTTAACAGTGTACTTAACGCTGAATGTCGCCGTAAAATGCTAGATTGACGAGGAATTCTCGTTCATGTTAAGCTACCTCTACAGCTCAATCTGCGTTGTTAATTTTATTGATGTTTAGTGGGATTCACACTTGATGAAAGGTTTTCGATCACATTTCGCATTTTTAGTTGCTCAGTTCGAGCTGAAATGCCATTAAATCCAATTCCTGACTGTATTTCAACTTAATTCAACAGAAATTCCTGGGTTCCAGTCAACTTTAATGTTTATCATTTAAAATGTTACAAACACGTTTCGGTGTTTTTCTCCACCATCATCAGTTTGCAAGTATGAACGGCTGGCCAAATGTGAAGGTAGAAACAACCATACATACAAACTGATGATGGTGGAGAAAAACACCGAAACGTGTTTGTAACATTTTAAATGATAAACATTAAAATCAACGATCAAAAATAAACATTTGATTCTAACTAATGCCACCCCCGTTAGCTGAGAGTGAAAAATCGGAAATATATTACAACACGTACACGCAAATGTGTATTTCCTATACGTTCTTGACAATTATTATGGCTTTGTTTTCGGTTGCGGCCGTTGGTAAATGAAATTTCAAGCAGATGCCCCTCAAAACAGGCCGAGGTATAAAAACATATGCTCGACAGATGTTTTGAAATTACACTTTGCCTGGAAAAGAACCTTTTTTCGGTTATAAACACATTTTTACGAGATTATAATATGCATAACACTGTTTTGCCTCCTGATGTCATGCACAAAATGTTCGTTAGAAATAAACGATTAAAGACAAAATCGCGAAAAAATCTAAATATCGATTCATAGTCGCCCTTAGTGAGTTATTTTAAGTCAGCTGAAAGCTTGTGTAGGCTACCGAAAGCCAACAGTTCAAATGTTTGGAATTCTCGTCCAACACTTAACAACAAAATACGACCTGGCCGTTAGATGTTGGATATTAGCGGAACAAATTTCAGCCACAAAAAACACACATTTTGTTTTTCAATGCGCCAGCGAAATGCAGTTAATTTTTCTTATTTTTCCAAATGGACTGGCACATTGCACATGAACTTGTACCTTTGAATAAGGCTCAGTTTTGCACAAACCGCAGTTTAGGTCTAATTATCACACTGCTCGCGGCCAATTTTAATTGTTGAAAGTATTTCGTATATTTGTTTCGATTTCGTGTGGCAATTCTTGCAAGATTGAAGTTTTGCTCGAATTGTACGAGATTAACGACAGTTGAAAGTGTTCAATTGAGTTTAGAAAAACCACATTTAGAAACGTTTTTCGGGCTTTGAAGCCGTGGTCCATGGGAATTTCTTCCTGACGTTTCGTCCACAACTGCGGTGGACATTATCAAAGGCC